GGGTGTCATATTTTATAGCCAGGAAAAGGGGGGGGGTCATGAAATATTAGACAGTTTATGAAGGCGGGGAGGGTCTGCTGTTTTAGTTCATTTAAATTGTTTTATACATGCCTTCTTACATTTTGTTTGAGTTGCAATGAAAAAAATGGTTCTTTATTAAACTTAAAATGAAAAGTTATATAAATCAATGTGTTCAATTAAATTTAATGACATTCAATGTTCTTCAAGAGCTAGATCGGCGAATCAACGTCAGAGGAGGATCAAGCTATGCTTGATAACACTAAAGTTTTATAATAATATCAGGGGCGTAGGAAGCGGGGGGGGGGGGGGGGGGGCCCCCCCCAAAAAAAATTTATAAGGGGGGCCGAGATAGCTTTCGGCCCCCCCAAAGATCATTGAATTTACTCAATTTACAATAAATGCAGTGAAATTCGAAACTGAAATGGCTAAATAGGGCTCTGAAATGGCCATTTCCAAGGATCTAGAGCCTCTAATTTTCAAAAAATTTTCCGCTCGGCGTCAACCATGGTGGCGCCTCGAGGAATTCGCCCCCCCCCCAATATCGAATGTGTTCCTACGCCCCTGTATAATATGACTATGTATTGGTTTAATATAAATTTTAGTATATAATTTAAAGCGCAATTAGAAAATTAGGAAATTTAAAGTGCAATTAGAATCGGGATTTAGTAGTAGGTAGGTACATCTTTACCTACACGAGCAAGAGAGAGGGGGGGGGGGCATTATTTTTCTGGGTTGTGGCAATGCAGGCCGGACAAAATATCATTCCTTCAAATTTTGAATTACACCTCCCCACCCCCCTGCTAAATTATGACCAGTCCTTAAAGTTTGACATTTTCTCAATGTTTTTTGCGGAGTGGCGTAACGCTCATTGGGTAGGGTTAGTTCAAAAGCTAAGGGCCCCCGACTGTTAGGGGCCCCATCAGTCACGACCTATCGCCCAGAAAATTAGAAAACGTAAAAAATGCAGGTTAAGAATCAATGCGAAAATGCAAAATTAATTATGCTAAATAATAAAGCCTCCATCGACAACGGTATAGCTGACTTTTGAATTTTATTCCATATCAAAAATAAAACAAAAGTTATTCTTACTAGTTGTTACATGTGTTCATGGAGACTGTTATTGTTATTTAGACACGGGATTTTCCAGAACATTCAAAATAAATATAATATCTCAGTCAAACAATGACAGTGAACAAGGACCCCCTCACCAAATATGCCTAAGGGCCCCTTTTCCCTCCGTTATGCCACTGTTCTACTGTTTTTGGCATTTGCGTAAAGATTTACTTGACTAAGAAAATTAGCAATTTTGCACATAAATTTGAGTTAATTTTACTGAATATTTTGAGTCTGTGTGGGTGTATTATTTTAATATGAGCCTTTTTCCAATGAAGTTTTCAACAATATGAGGCAAATTTTAAACTTTATAGGAAATAGCTATATATTAGTAAAAGAGAAAATTTAGGGACACAACAGCAAAGTTTTTTTCAGGATTTTCTCTTGGGTCCCTCTTTGCAGAGAAGATTGAGTTTAGCTGAACAGCTGGCGTGGCTGTATCCCCCCCCCTACCGGGGGGCTGACATCTGTACTCAATAAATGTAGTTGAGGGCGGAATGTGTTAAAGCAGGAGCACTAAGGGACACTATAAACTGGTTAAAGATGGCGAATGCATAGTTTTTCATGTGTTGTGAGATGAATTCTAGCCATTTTTTCTTAATTGTCGAGCTTCCAACTGAAAACTAATTTCCACACGTCACGAATTTAACTCAAACAACTTCATTTTTACTGCACTGAAACTTTGGTGAGAAGATTGAGTTTCAAAACTCAATTCAAGATTGAGTTTTTGGGGCCGTTTAACGGCCCTAAAAAAACCCTGGAAAAAACCCTGAACAGGACACGCCTTGATTCGCTTTCATGTTAGCAAAATTTTCAATTTTTGAAGAACATGTTCTGGGACTTTGTTTGGAAATTTCTATTTTCGTTAAGGCCGGTGTTTTTATTTTCTATTGGTAAAAACAATTTCTTCAAATATATAAGTCAAAATTTTTATGTTGAAATAATAAGTAAAAAATTCTTTGAGATCGATCATGAGAAACACAATGTCTATTGATG